GGTCATTGATGAAATCGTACACAAAAGATGATAGTTATCTTTTGGGGTGCTATAAAATCAGATCTTTTAAGAACTTGACGATTTTCACCCAAGAATCCCGAAACAGATCTCGTCATTATTGTACGGGGTTCCAGTTCATGTGCTGAGCAGTTGCTGCCAAGCAAATTTCACTTCGGATGGCAACGTAGCTACGGGTATGCTCATTCCAACAACGAAGAATAACCGTTCAATTTCTGTGCCAATTAGTACCGTTTTTACTCCGACGGAGAATTTTAGCTTCCCGAGCGACACTTCGCTAATTGGCGTCATCCATTTTCGGTCCAGTGGTGGTAGCAAGCTGATCCCTGCAGTACAATTCACAACTTACTTGACAACAAATGAATGTGATGATCCTAATAAATCAAATTCTGCGATTGTTCACATGTATTTCATAGAACATCTGGGGCTAGATAAAGGGAATTAATGGCTGAAAAATTGAAATACTGCGAAGTACAAATAGAGTTTCTGCGGAAACTTCCGAATGTCCTTTCTTTGCCATCATTCCTGCATGCGGATCAGGATATGTCATGATTGATCAAGACCATTTTTATTCCGATCTTTTATCCACTCTCTCGTTAGCTGCTCTGCTAGAAGTTGAATCGCATTAACATGCCCGAATTGCGTGATCTTCTACGTACTGCGCCAACTAGTGAGAAAGAAAGGAACTCGGTCGGTACACTTTTCAGTGGTCAAAAATGGTTTTCCCCTGTAATTATGTATCTTCGTGGTCACAAAGCGACACAGATATGGTAGTTGCTGTCTGTACTGGATGTAGAAGCAGACAATTTTTTCTGTCAACCCACTAGATGCAAACCGTTTGCTAACATCTACATAGCACATGAGTCATAGGACGCAATAATGAAGCCTTTATGCGGTTGCTTCGATCGCTCGGTACAGCGTAGTGCTCCTGATTTAGCTACTGGGCACAGTTTTCTGCGGTGCCTTATACTTATCACCGGATGGTTGACTTGCACCAAGGTGTCATTATTTCGAGTTTTAAGTGCAAAAATATCTTGATTTTTAAACGCTACAAATATTCCGGTCCTCACAGTTTTCTCCTCTTTCTTCAAAGATGGTGAAAATATTAAAATCAACGAAAGCCTCTCACTGTTCACAAAGACCTTGATTGATGATAAGCTGCCTAGTTTGTGAGACGGACCAAACTACGCCCAGTTTACGGTGAATATTCGCCTAACCACTGTACCAACTATCGGGAAATCCAACTGTCCCCTGCAGCTTGCAAAGTCTCGTGTTGTCGTGCTCACGCTCCCTGTGGCTCACTTAACCATGTTAAATCACTCATGCTATAGTTGTCATACCTTGCCAACCGTTAATATCAATCGGACTAATTGTGTCCTTGCCATTGATTGACTGCATTGAGCGTCTGTTCATGGGCATGTAGCTTTAAGCTGAATCCGTTGTTCATTGATTCGATTGTGTTCCTACCATGGTTCGGTTACGACCTCGGTTCACTGCCACTTTTGACGCAACACTGCAAACTTTCACTGAGTTAGCGCTAAAGTACTAGGACGGGTTTGGTCCAGTCTGAGGTTCCATCGACCATTCAGTCGAATTCCTGAAAACCGTAACATTCACCAAATACTAACCATCGTGCTACTTTTGGATATTCGAGTCGTTCCAATTCGCTTGGTTGCATTCGTTGTAGAAATGTGTACAAAGTAACAGTGTACCTATGTGTTACTTCTAATGTCCAAGGAACTGTGAAGTCACACAGATGGTCAACTTACGTCCTGTGATATAAACTCTGCTCTTCGTTTCCTGTTTTCAGCAGTTTATGTCAAAGCTTCCCTATTGCACCACTTCTAAACAACTACACTTCTGAAATTGTTCTCTATCAAACACTAGAGGATGTGAAGTACAGCAGTGTTTAACTCAATCCCAGCTACAGAGCAGTGGACATGGATTATGCCGATGAGATGGTGCTGTTCGTTTTGCCCAGTCAGACAGTCTACAAGCCTCCACAAATATTATGAATCGCCTAGGGCTAGTGGCGTCTAAGTACATACTCTAACTTACCATAGCCAAGTGTACAGTATTACTTCAGAATTTGTACGTGCTTATCTCCACACTCACTGTTGCGTGTAACAACCTGGGGTGTTGCAACGATGGAATACGAATGCTTGAATTAGATGTTCTTTGTATCTGGGCTCAATCACACAGCCATCACACCGATGGAAAAGCACTATATACCCGCTCCATCCTTTCGGGAATCGTCAGCAGTGCGTACTCTATCTGGTATGTTGCTAGCCTCGGGAGGTTACATGGTGGCTTATGGCACTTGTAGTGCAGATAAAGCTACGCAGAGGATCGTTGCAACCAGCTTTGCATTCATTTACCTGAGAGATTAGGCACAATCACAATGCCAGCCTCAAGCTTAACGGTGTGATGTACAATACCTGCTGTAAAACTGCGAGACGGCCTATTAGCTCGTAATGGTTGAAACAGCTGTACGTCTTGACAGACATCGTTTGCAATAAACCGCTCATATATGGCGGCTGCATTATGGAAGCAGTGCGGAACTTCGAAGCCAAGTACTCTGAGCGCATATTTTCCGTCTCCCGAACATTATGCTCTAACACCGTTTGCGTTGGATCGGCCACGTACTGCATGGGTCAGACTATCGCTCTTGTCGTGCTTTATAGATCATTTCTAGATGCGATCAAAAAAAGCGTGGATATTGACAAGTTGCTTGCAGACATTTCGGTACCAATCGAGCTGACATCTTTAGTGCGTACAAGTGCTAATGGATTTACCGGTAGGCAAGTAGCATGGACCGAATTCGGGGATGAATGCAGCCGGTCATTTGGCCGCTCAATAAACAAATTTCAGACGTCATCATTCGTACTTCAGCGGCATTGGCCTTCCACGGTCCTACTTGGAAATTCCTTGGCAGTTACCACTGGCTACAACAAAGTTTGCTGAATTACGAGGTGGGTCCTCTTAGTCCCATTAGTGCTGAAGTCAATCTTGCCGTGGACGCTGTTACGAGTTCGGCCTGATGTTCACTGTACTTTTCCAGGCGATGTTGTATCCCTCTTCTCGGTTCTTATTAGACAGACTTTAGATCGATCCACTTGTGTAGTGAAGTATTCGCCGAAACCAGTCTCCCAGAAACTCTCCTCCTCTTATTGATACACCGGAACTTAGCATCTATATCAAACTTGTGTCCTTTACAATGGACCAATGGAACATCGGTATAATATGGATGAAAAGCTAAGAATTGATAGATACTTGCGCCCAGACCAATGAAGATACACAGCGGTTCTTGCAGTCTCGTTTGTGTTTCTCTATTCTCGTCCATAAAGGCCTCCATGTTTCATTTACACACACACACACACACACACACACATTTACACAATTTTGGCACAACATCCCGTACACAAAATTTTATTTTTTCTTAAGCTCCGATTTTTCTTTATGACTCAGTAGGATTTTCCTCAGCTTCGTTGTATTTATGAACTGAAATCTGGTGGTGTGTACTGAGCAACATGGCTGTCATTTCGGATGTCCATTCAAAAACGTGCTGGCCATTGACTGTGTCAGGGCTTCAGATCCAAATAATAACTTTAAGTTGGTATGCACATAAAGCTTTGTGTGGTGCTACTCAGATTCTAATCGCAATTGGTGGCACGTAAGAGACGTGCCGAGTACGAAAGTAGGGAGAACAGTTATATCATTTGGACCCAAGATGTATTGACAAAAGCTACAAATGATGGGGGGCAGGTGAGCAGAGGCAGACAACAGTATGAAGCGGGACCCACGAGAGCAAGTGATCGGTATATGCCACCAGTCAAACAAATAAATGGTTGGAGGTTGTAAACAAGCATATAATTCAATGTCTCAAAATACTGGATGTGTGAATGATTCATCTTTACTACATCTTTAAATGAAGGCCGGCTTCAATACTTTTGCGAATAATGATTAATATCTGACTTACAAGTTTCTGAGGCTCCATCTGTGATGAATTTCACTGTTGATTTCATTATCCTGACAAAAGCAAAGGCTTGCACTTCCTGATTTGCTATTCTATAAATTTGTAGGCTGAAGAAACCACTGACTGCCTGATTTAAGAGTTGCCATATTGTCCGCAATTACCAGACGCATAAAAACACGATAATGAAAGTGTAACTTGTAACGCTATAACTGACAGTTTCAATTCAATATTTTAATTAGGAATCAGGATAATACTGCCTATTATCAGCAGCTTATAATTACCGACATGACATACTGACACAGTTGAGCTGTTAATAACGATGACTTATTTATCTGCAAAATCGGCGCCCGGTACTATCGGGCCCCAAAGGAATGAACAACTGCTATGAATTAAAGTGCCGAAATCTAGGAACAACAGTTGGTCGCGCACAGATAGGCAGAAAATGTCAAGGGTGAAACGAAAGATAGCTACTTGCGATATGTTTACTCTGGTTTGTGGGAGTTTTCACCCTGTTGCTCACACAATATACAGTGTTTTTGCCTTTGTCAAACCAGATGAGTCGATATTCGCCTATTTTTAGAGGATGACGGAATCCGCGCCTTCAGGACGTCACTAATTGCTTTGTGGATATGTAACCACTGCCCCAACCCAACTTGTGGTCGAATGCATCTAACTGATATCGGTGGCTAGCGTTAACCTTTATGCAATCTTAGCCTGACCGAATTTTGCGGTTCTGAATTCAACACAAAATCAAACATCCGAAGTGGGCCATAACTAATCATGTCAAAATCAGCATCAGATGCTTCAGGCGTTGTCAAATTATTGTTAAATATCAACAGAGATGAGCATTCCCGTATGGCAGGAAAACCGTGTGTGACATTTCCTTCTGAAGACTAAAGCTTCCACCTAGTGGTAGATGTAGATTGTGCAATTTTCTTCGTATATTTTCGTTCCATAAGTCTTACGATAGCTCATCCTAACGTTCCAGTCTACCCTTTGCTTTCAGAAACAACGCTTAATGTTTCTCTGAACGAAGTAATTCAGAAGACCTGCCAAACTGCGACATATTTGCGCCACAAAGTTCATTCTGATTGGGTTCGACAAGGTAGGACACAAGTCAAATATGACCAGCGTGTGTGTGTGTTAAACAGTTCGCTATATTCCTCAGTTGGATGGATTCATGACATGCGCCACTGTTTGGAACAATTCTTTGGTTATTTCCTGGTTGGAGAAACTACCGTCCGTAGCAGCGGCTGCCGGAAGAGCTACAAGTCAACGGTAGGTTTGATACAGGACTGCAAGTTTTGCTGGCCACTATTTCGTATCACGTTTCTCGAGTCTCATCTGTTTGTGCTGTAATCGGCTGGGGAATACCACTAGCCAGCATGATCACGAAGGCAATAACGTGAGTTAGCCACCTGAGTGAAAGGGCTTGCGTTATGACTAACTTTTATATCTTCATCCACAAATCAGCCCACGCAGAATGCGATGACGCGATTACTTTGCGCCGTCTGGAGATTCCCCAGGTTTGTTTGTGCACATTTCTAACTGCTATTATTATTTCATGGCACACTTAGGTGGCCGGTACGGATTGTTGAACTGGTTGTTGATTTCGATTGCTTGAGTCGTGCATGGCCATTTTTGCGCAGCGCTCGTTTCGATTGTAACACGCCATCGCTCCGTTTGCTGTGTACTTTCTGTTCCCCTAGCTCGCAGCGTTCGACGGTATTGTATTTTTTACAGCTAGGCCAACAGGAAACCAGTTGTTGTACAAATAAAAGTTTCCCTACAACCCCCTCTCTGCTGAAATTACAATTCGGGCTCTCACTAAAACTTGTATGTTGCTTTCTGTCTTCGTGAACTGCAAGTTGAGTTTTGAAATCCAACAGCGCTGACAGTCGAGTAATGCGGCTCCTTGTGACATTGTGGGTTAGAATTGAGGAGCTACCCTGGTCAGCAATGACTTGTTGACTAAGTGGTTCCATCGAGGCCTGCAGAATCGGTGTGTGATACGTGTGTTCACGAGGATGTTGGCAACGAAAACCCGTCAGGCTGTCACAAACGACAATCATCCCTAGCGATTTACGCACTGAAATTCTTTATATTTTGTGCTACTAATAAGTAGTATGTAATATTGCAAATGTTTGCTTGTATGGATCAGACGGATGCAGCGTCAGCAATTTGGCATAGTGAAGACGGGAGCAGTCGTCCAACTAACGCAGGGGGTAGTGGCAGCGTTGGTGGCAGCAGTAACAATAGGCTCGGTAGTCGTTATAGTAACGGTTGTACTAGTAGTTGTTATTGTGGTGGTGGTGGTGGTAGTAGTAGTAGTCGCAGTTAATTTTGCTGTTTCCGTTGCTGTTCTTTTCAATTACTTGACATTAGCCTCAAACATGTCATGAAAGACACATAGCCTAGTGTGCGAGGTAAGGACGAATATTTCTGTCCCGTAATCTAATGGTATGGAGCTTGTCTTGTAATCCTATGGCCCGGGTTCGAGCCTGCGTAGGGACAGGGCGGCCCTCGCAGTATCCCTAGCCCACGTGCAACTGGTGGTAGTTGTGCGACAGCGGAGCGTCGATACTGTGTACTGGCGTACTGCTGATACCCTTGTTAAGTATGAATATTGGGAAGTGTAGTAATCGCAGCGTTTGAACTGCATAGTACGCAGGAGAATGGGGAGACCATTTTGCGTCCAATCAGCTTCCAATATGAGTTTAATGATGTTAACATCGATTTTTCAACTCATGAGCCAATCGCCATTCTACTCACAAGGCATGAGTGAAGCTGGGTGTGCTAACATGTAGCTGCATATTATGATGAACCAAATCCGAATGATGTACTTGGTTAGTTAATTTCACATTTCTAACTCACCGTTGGTGTCGTCTACGTAGGAATGTGTTAAGTAACGACCCAAACCCTCAACTTGAGGGACGTACAGGTGAGTTGTGTCCAGAACCCTAATGTAAAGTTCCTTCGGGTAAGTCAAAATGTGTGACGTCATCAGTAAGCAGCGCAATGTCTCATAATTCCGCTGCGCTTACAATATACAGTCGATTCCGGTTAATCGGACCACATCGGGACCAGACCATTTTGGTCCTATTAAGCGGCTGGTCCGATTAACCGAAGTTACCCGATGTAACAAGATGGGACGTGCTATACATAACATAGGAAACTACTATTATGACCTGAATTGGCGGCATATATTTATAGCAAACACACCAAAAAGAACTGTTTTGATAACGAACTTTGTTCACTGAAAAAGAAATTTACAAACAAATTCTTCGTAACGACCTACAAGATATTCAGCATGCGAAGTACGGTTTTATACAAAGGGATTACCGAATTCCATTCAGCTTTTGAAGACCGTATCCAGTGTGGTTTGACGCATTCTTTTAACAGACTGCATTCGCACAAAATCACCACAAACATGTAACGCAGTAATAGGACTACCTTCATTTCCTTCCTACATGAAATAGCGGTGCAATGTTTCAATGCATTTCCTTGCATCCTGTTTTGTGACTAGCATCAACACGTTAGGGTTCTCTTCATCACTTCCATGGTCTTCTGTTGCTGTCATGCGTTTCGCTGCTATTCGAGCAACAATGGCAGCATCGCATTGTTCATTTCCATCATAGAGTTGAAGTTCGTTGTCGATTGACAAAAATTCTTCGTAATTTTCAACTTGTTTCAGCTCCACATTCTCGCCGTCATTTTCATTTACAATCACCATATCCACATCCATCTCCGAGACAATATGCTTAAAGCCACAGTGAGAAAAACAGTTCTGAATTGTCGCACTGCTCATTTTCGCCAACTTTCGGCCACGAATGTAACGGCTTGCAAAATGTTGACCTTTGCACTGATTTCTCCAGCCGTCGTGGATGAGGTCAGCAAGCCTTCCTCAATTGATTCAAGGATGTAACTCACCAACCTTGAACGATAAATGGTCTTCAAATTTTTTATGATGCCCATGTCCATTGCCTGTATCAAAGATGTGGTCTTGGGAGGCAGAAATTCCATCTGGATATTCTTCAAAAAAATCCAAATTTGAATGTGCTGCACAATTGTCGTGAAGTAATAACACTTTTCTCGACTGGCGTTGTAGCTCTGTGTCCCAATCCTTCACCCATTCTTTAAAAAGTGTAGAGCTCATCTATGCATTTCTGTTCGCATGATACACAACTGGTAAACTGTCCATTCTGAGTCCCTTAAAGCAGCGAGGCTTGGCACATTTTCCTATAATCAGCAACTTCCTCTTGTCTGTTCCGGACATGTTTGAGCAGCACAAGACAGTTACGCGATCCATTGCTTTTTTTCAGCCAGAGAGAGTAACATGTTTGTAACTTAAGGAGCCGTCCGGTGTAGCCATATAGTACAACCCGGTTTCATCAGCATTATAGATGTCATCTGCTGGAAATTTTTCAAGAAGCTCTGGTAGTTTTGTTGATTTCTATTCTTCAGCTCGAGCGCTATTGGCACTTTCTTTCTCACCGTGTGCTTTCTTAAATTTTACATCATGTCTAGATTTCCATCGAGACAACCAGCCGTCCGTAGTTATAAAATCTTCGTGGCTCAGCATTTTAGCGAGTTCTTCTGCTTTGTACTTTAACATTGGGCCACTTACTCGCACGGCTCGTCCAGTAACAAAGGCAAACCAATCATTAAGGGCCTCATCGACGTCTGGATCCTTGCCTTCACGCTTCCGTTTTTGGGAAGTACCTCGTCGTCCTTCACATTGTGCCCATTCTTCTCGCAGATCTTTCTCTTGTTTTATCAGGCGCGATATTGTAGATTTTGCCAAGCAGGTAATTTCCTACCAATCGACGCTTACTAGTGGTTGGTCCCTGTTCCTTGATCTGATCTAGGAATCGAATCTTCTCAACTAACGTCAAGCCCCGTCGTGGCATTTTCTTAACACGCAACAAGACACGCACAGTTCACTGAGGTGAACTCGAGTCTGTCTACCGGGGATTTCTATGGTTGACCTAGCCACCTGCTGTCCTATGATTTGCCGGACCTGTGTGTCCGCGATCACTTGCCGTGCTCGAGAGTAGGCCCGCAATGCGGGCTCAGGGCATTCGGCTCCGTGGACGTGCGGTACATCGATCGAGCGATTAACGACATGTGAACAAGCATGTATGTCTTCGCTCCGCCTACAAGTGTTGGAAACTACAGTCAGTTTCGGGCGGTTCTGAAGCCAATTAGATAGATTTGCCTCAAGGTTGCCACAGTTCAGTTTATCCAAAGGCCAACTCGGATTACCGTAAGTGAATGATACGCTTTCTTGCCCGACATATGAACTGTGGGTTTAATCCAGACATCCTGACACAGAACTTGATTTTAACACCTCTGTTACCTGCCACCTTCTATCGTCTGGTCCGATTAAGCGGAATTCCGGTTCTAATTAGCGGCCAAAATTAGGCTAGCGTAATAGGATTCGTTTCGGTTCTTCAGAATTTGACCCGAATAAGCGGCTGGTCCTATTAACCGGTGGTCCCATTAACCGGAATCGACTGTATATATATATATATATATATATATATATATATATATATATATATATATATATATATATATATATATATTCACAGTCTGTTAACAGACATTGTGCCATCAGAACCATGGTAGAAGAAAAAACTAGAGAAAATTGAATTACGAACTGCGATTAAAAATATAGGGAACGATATTTTTGGTTTTACACACGCCATTTTGTACTTTTAGTTTTGTTTTGGGAGTTTTTGTATGCATCAAAGGGATGGTAAAATGGCAGGACAACATTGATGCCACTGATGTCTTTTACGGGTCATGACGTCTAATGTTTTCAACCACTGCGATTCAGCATCATCTCGTGGTCCCCAACCTGGAAGACGGACTGGTCCGACTGCCGCAAAAAGTGAGGTTGCCTTCTTCATGCTCCTTCTCCACGTCATTGGCTGTCCACCGCGGCACTTTTTCCAATCGCTCCCTGGGAGTGCAAATAGCGCTCGACGTGGAAGACGATGGGCTGACATGCACAGAACGTGCCCGAGCCAACGCATGCGATGTCCGAGGATAACCTCCTGAAGACTGGCACTATTCACCCAAAGCACGCGGTCTCGCACCTCTGCGTTGCTTACGTGGTGTTGCCACCACACCCGAGCAATCCTTCGTAAACAGCGATTGTCGAAGACTGACAGCCGCTTCATCTCTTCCGAGTGAATAGGCCAAGTCTCACAGCCGTACAAGAGTACTACGCGGACGGAGGCATTGTACACCCTGCCCTTGAGCTTGGGACT